GCCGCGGCGCGCGCAAGCGAGGGCGCGACGGCCGCCGCTCCACCAGGCGGGGTGCGGGGCGGATGCTCTGCCAGGGTGGTGGGGTGGGGACGGAGGGTCCTCTCTTGACTTCGGTGGCCAGCAAGCGTTGATGGTCGGCCTCAAAAGGCGAGGCACTGCCGTCGCGCCGGACACACCTCGCTCCCCCCATCCTCGCAGCACGGCGGCGGCGGCTGCGGCGGTCGCGGGGGGCGGGCCCGCGGGCGGCGGCGGGGGCGGCGGCGGCGACGGCAAGGCGGCGCTGGCGTTCATGACTCTTGACGCGCGCTACTTTCCTGAGGAGCTGTACACAGAGAAGGACAAGAGGTGGTTGTCTTGTTATGATTGTTTTTGAGTTGGTTGGCTTTGGTGGGTGAGAGTTTGGGGGCAATCGCGATTGGGCGGGGGCGGGCCCAGAGGGTGTACTCTTGGGTTGTGGAGCGCCGCCGCCGGCGCGGTTTGGATTTGGGGCAGCTGGGGCTGAGCGGGGAGGCGCACCGCTGGCGGACTTTGTCTGGGTGTCGGGCGTGAGTGATGAGGGGGCTGCAGCTTGTTCAAGCGTGGCCCCCTGACCCAGCGGCTCCGGCCGCCCCCCGCCGCAGGCAGGCCGCCCGGGGCGCCGCGTCCGCCGACCTCTTCCGCGCAGCCGGCGGTGGCGGCGACGCGCGCCTGGCTCAGTACCTCGACGCGCGCGCGGACGCGGAGGCGCGGCAGGAGGCGGCGGGCGGCGGTGGCGGCGCAGCGGAGGAGGAGGAGGACCCGGGGGTCGGGGCTGACGTGGAGGACACGGACGAGATGCCCGAGGAGGTGAGGGGAATTCAAACGGCGGCTGCTGACAGCTGGCGGGCGCGGCGGCGCCACGTCGGCCTTGGGGGTTCCTACCGGCCGGGCAGTAAACGAGATACAGCTCTCAGACGGGACAGCTGGGGGAGCTGCGGGGCCGAACTGAAAGCGACGGCCGCGCTGCGGGCCGCCCTCCCTCGCTGCCACCCGTCGCGGTGCGATCGCGCAGCCTCAACGCTCGCGCTGATGCGCCAATGATGATCAAGCAAGCGCCCAGCTCCAGCGGTTGACCTCTTTTCCCTGCGCGCGGGCCCACACACACATACACGCGCAAGCACAACACACACACCACACACACATTCACAAACGATACACACACACATTGACGCATTGAAGCACAACACACACACACACACACACACACACACACACACACACACACACACAATCACACCCAGACACACGCATGCAAGCACCACACACACACACACACACACAACCCCAACCACGACAGATCCTTCCACACACACCTGCCAATAACCACACGCACCCCCACCCACACTCCCCCCCAAAACACCCCCCCCCAAAGGATGACTACTACCAGGGGGAGCACTTCGATGATGACGAGGGGTACGGCGACGACGACGGCGGCGGCGGCGGGGATGAGGGCGGTTACTATTGAGGGTTGAGGGGGTCAGGCCATTCAGGGTGACGCCGCGCTGTCACTTGGATTTTTCAATTTGCTAATCAATCTGGTCAGAAGCCACCCACGTATCGTGCACGCCTCTGTGTGTTTTGTATTGAAATGCGTAAAGGTTTTTTTTTGCAGGTTTCCCGCTTGATTGTCTACTCATGTCTTCACTGTTATTCCACCGGCGACACTCGCCCGTGTCGCTTGATCCCTGCTCGCGTGACCCGTGAGCCGCCCGCCTGACGCCGCCGCCTGTGCGGCCGCTTCCCGCCCTTCTTATCAGCCCATCTTCGCGGTGGTCATGCTGCGCACGAGCCCGGCGGTGGTCATGTAACAGCCCCCTGGCCTGCGGGTGGTTTTGGCGGCGATGCTCGGCGCAACTGTTGACCCTTTATTACCCGAAATGAGCAGCAAAACAGGACGGGGACGGCTGGCAGGGACGCGGCCAAGCCGCGCGGTGAGAAGGCGCACAGGGGCGGCCTCGGCCCCGCGAACATGCGCCGCCGGCGGGCAGCGGGTCGAGGCGCCCGTCGCAGGGAGGCGCCAGAGGGCCAAGCCTGAGGTGTGCAGCACTGGCAGCGCCGGCCCGGCGGAAGTTTCGTTCAACACACAGAACCAAAGGTTGGGCGTGGCCGGCCCGTCAAGAAGTGGCAAGTTGACGTTTCAAAGGCGAGGGTTGCATGAGCGCCGCGCCCATGCCATCCCGCTACGTACCCATGCAGTCAGGTCGGGCGTTGTCGGGCGCGGCAGGGCCCCGCAGGGGCAGCAGGCGCGCACCAAGAGACGTTCTGCGCCAGGGCGGGCGCTCGAGGCGCGCGGCGTGCATGGCCGGCATTGAATCTTTTGCGCTCGCGCCGCAGCACCGCCTCACGCGCACCCAGCGGCGCTGCCGGCCCGACGCGCCCCGCCGCTTCGGAAGGCGCGCCTGTCACTGGTAGCCGGCCCCAAAGCCGGCCGAGCTCCCATAAGGCGCCGCCGCCCAGCTCGCGCGCGGCCCCGCCGCGCCGTACGGCACCACGCCGCCCGCCACGCGCATCGCGACGGAGCCGTCCACGCCGGGCGGCAGCTGCATGCCGCCCGGGAAGCCGGGGGGCGCGAAGCCCTGCGGGAAGCCGCCGGGCGGCATGCCGCCGGGGCCCATCATCACCATCATGCCAGGGGCGCTGCTCCGTGAGCCGGGCCCGTAGGGCAGCAGCGCGTCCGTCTTGGGCGGCGGCAGGCCCTGCGGTGGGGGGGGGACCGGGTTCGTCGTTTCCAGGCGTTGCGCCTCACTGCGGACCCAGATACCCAGACTACCCTGCAGCCCCTGCCCAACCCCACGAGTCCACTCAGGCCAGCCACCGGCGATGCACCTCCGCCTCACCAGCCGCCATCCACAGATCACAGGCTCTGCTTCTGTATGCTTCCGCGCATCCCTCACCCCCTGGCGCTCAGCTCTGTCGCTGCCACTGCTGCGCCCTCCTCACACAACAACCGCCCGCATGCGCTCTGTCTTGCCACCGCCGGCCCCTGTCGCTCACGATCACGATGTTGCGCGCAATGTCCTCCACGGCCACCTCAGCAGGCAGCTGACTCAGCAGGCCTGCGATATCCTTGGACTCCTCATGCAGCAGACGCACGTACGGCCTGTGGTTGGGGGGAAATGGAAGGAGGGGCGGCGTCGGCGCTACCGCCACCCGGCAGGCGCAGCCCGCAGGCGCAGCCCGCAGGCGCAATGTAGCGAGGGCCAAGGCATCCAGACTGAAGGCCCTAGGGCGGTGTGGAGTCGCGAGGACGGCGCGCACGCGTGTGCGCGGCCGGGACTGCTCGATGCACGCGCCGACGGCCGCGAGGCGTCGCGGGCCGCGCCCCGCGGCAGCCGAGCTGCTCTCGCGTGCTCGGGGGGTTCCTGGGGTCTGCCCAGTGGGGTCCGCTTGTGAGGTTCTGCTGCGTTGGGTCCCACCTGAACAGCACGAGGATGAAGCCGGCGATGATGATGATGGAGATCACCAGCAGGATGATGTGGAGCGTCTTGACAGACTGGGGGGGGGTCAAGGG